CTAAAACCCTAACCCTAACCCCTAAAACCCTAAAGCCCTAAAGCCCTAAAAGCCCTAAAACCCCTTAGCCCTAAACCGATTTAGTGGCTCATTGCAGCGAGAGATTCCGAGGATTTCACAGTCAGCCTACGCCAGTGGGGTCAAGGTCTTCGGAACGAGGATTCCTTGTCCTGCAGCCCTTTTGGTAGCTGCGGCGGCTAGGGTCGAGGATCTAAGGTGCATGGTTTAGGGTTTTTTCGGTTTCAGGGTTTAGGGTTTGGGTTGCTTCTGGTTTCCAACCGTGGTGAGTTGAGTTCACGACAGGCCGTGGCCGTGGTCTTCTGCGTCATGTCCAGAAGATCCGCGCACGAACTGCGTCAGGCCAGTTGGGGCACGGCACAAGATCCACCAAGTTCGTTGTCTTCGCATCTTTGGAATACAGATGGATTGGAGCCTCTCTAGGACAGTCTGAAGATCCCCTAAACCCTAAACCCTGAACCCTACCCTCGCCCCACAGCAAAGCATCTTGAAGCCGCCTGCTGCATGCAGGTGCTTCGCGACACCTGGGGGCGTAGCCTGGTTGAGAAGGCCGGGTGATATGGGGGCCTAAATGATTACCTATACTATTTTGGGGGCTCCTTAGTATAATTATGGCATAATATTCGCAAAACCGCATTCTAATTATTCAGGCCCCTAAATTGGATTTCGGGAGGTGTCCCGAAACCCGGCTCCAACTCTGGAACTTTAGAACCCTACTGTGCTGGTATCGCAGTATCGCATGATGGCCCTCTTTCTTCAACAAAGGCGAGCTGCCAGTTGGAGAGTTCGGGACATGCTAGCTCTTATTATTCTTGTTCTTGTTGTAGTTAGTATGATGATTGTAACGACTATTATATGTATATTCGCTGTTCACCTCGTTCTTAAGCACCCCAAGACCCAAAGCCCCAAACCCCAAACTCACCATAGTTGCCGGAAGCGCATATGTCACCAGGCACCTGCAGTGGTCCAGCGATTCTTCGTTGGCACAGCCGCCAATGAGTCTCGAAGCTACACTTTTGACTTGGGGAGCTCATATAGAAGCCGAAAGTATTGAATTCTTTAGGGTTCCTTATCATAAGTCTACTATAAGAACACCCAAAGTCCTAACCTAAGTATTGAGTCCCCTAGATCAATCAAAGATGAGAGGAAGTGGACCAAGGGCCGGGTCCAGGTCCATGCAGCATCCTGCAAGCAATCAAGACCCCAAAGGGTCCTAGGTACTGTTACGAGGGATACTTTCCCAAATCATAGTAAGGATCCCTAGTGCAGAAACCTTACATTCGACTATATAGGTGCTTTGGGCCCTTTGGGGACGGAAGCCCTAAACCCTAAACCCTATACCCTAAACTACTATACCCTAAACCCTATACCCTAAACTACTATACCCTAAACCCTAAACCCTAAACTACTATACCCTAAACCCTAAACCCTAAACTACTATACCCTAAACCCTAAACCCTAAACCCTATACCCCAAAGAGGGACATAGGACCCTTGGCCTGGCGAAGGTCCCACCAGCTGCACGACCTTGACAAGGGCGACGTGGTGGAGCTGCCGGTGGTGGAGTCCTATCGAACCCGGGCTTTGGAGTACCATACTTTAATACATGTTTTGGGGACCTGTTCCTTAAAGGAACCATTTTAAAATAAACGTCTATACTTTAATACATTTTTTGGGGACCTGTTCCTTAAAGGAATCATTATAAAATAAAAGTCTATACTTTAATACATTTTTTGGGGACATGTTCCTTAAAGGAACCATTATAAAATAAACGTCTATACTTTAATACTTTTTTCGGGGACCTGTTCCTTAAAGGAACCATTAAGAAATAAAAGTCTATATTTGTTTCTCCCTGGCTACTTCAAACCCTAAACCCTAACCCCCAAAAAAACCCTAAACCCTAAAGCCCAGGAACCCTGAACCTCAAGGCGCTGGTCATGCTGAGTTGGGCCGAAGAGCGGCTCCTGGGCTAGCACTCCGTGTAGCCGGGCTACCCCCTAAACCCTAAACCCTAAACCCTAAACCCTAAACCCTAAACCCCAAACCCTAAGCCGTCATGGTGCTGGGGCTGCAAGTTTTACCCTCAACTCTAAACCCGAAGCTCCAGAAACCCTAAACCCACCACCTAAATACCCGAAACTTTAGAAGGTGATGGTGGTGGCGGTGTGGGCCCGACCCTAGGGATGTTTCTGGCTTTAAGACAGGGTTCGACGCTGCACTCTAGACCCTCCTTGAAGTTGCAGATCTCCTTCTATAAGATATGGGTTTGATGGGTTTTAAAGAAGACGAATATTATGCCTTACAGTCTTATAAGGTTCCTCATTGTAATCATACCATAATAACCCAGATTATTCCTTATAGTCTTATAGGGTTCCTCATTGTAATCATACCATAGTAGCCCACTGCCCTAAATCAAGGTATCCCAACCTCCAGTGGCTGGTGCGGCATGATGACGACGTGTACCTGCGCGCGCCAGCTCTGCTGGCACAGCTGGCGAGTCGGCCTCCAGTACGTGTCCTGACTGGTCCCTTTAAACACAGGTGCGCATGATACGCGCTCACGTGTCGTTCACGAGTGTCGTTTAGCTTCCACAGCTATTGTTCCCTGTTCGTGGCGGATTCCAACAGAGTCGCACTTTCGACTGCACTTTGGGCAGGAGCACGAAACTGTTGCGGGTTGCAGCAAGATCTAGTTTGGTTGAATAGCTTTCATGACACTCTGGCCAGTGCAGTTTCTGCCAAGACTACGCAAGTCAGAAGCCAACACAGAAGAGCAGAGCGATGGCCCAGGCTACTTGTGGGGGATGATTGACCACGGCTCCAGTCCGGTTCGAGCCGCTTGGAACAAATGCGGCATTGCGCGACATCAAGGTGCTTTGTAGCAAAGGGTCGGTGACTTCGACGTTTTGCCGTCCGTAAGCTGCTTTCGTGGCACTGTGGTTTAATGCTCGAAGTACCCCCGGATTTTAAATTTTTCTCATCCCCAAAGCATGAACCCCAAACCTGGGACCCTAAACCTTATGCCCGACAGTGGCTGTGGAGAGGATCCGGAGCATCAGCACTACAACTCCTACGACCAGTTCCCAAAGCAAGATCACCCGTCCTGGGGAGATATCTTCCCACCCTACGACGCTCGGCCGATGCTGTGGCTATGGGTCCTTGAGATTTCTCGCAGAGACCCCAGCACGCAGCTGTGGGCAGGATGTGGAAACTATCTATCAACGGTAAAGTGGCATGCGGGCTATCCCAGAAGCCATATGAGCGGAGAGCTCAACCATCGAAGAGCTAGCCAGACTATCTATAGGGCCGGCATTAACGAATGGGCGCGGAAGCTACAGTCGCATGCGCGGAAGGCTTGCGGACCGGTAGCTTTAAAAACCGAAGCGCGGAAGGGGTGTGCGCAAGGGTATCTTGCGGAAGGGGTGGGCGTAAACACCTGAAATGCGGAAGGGCGCGCGGAAAGCTCAAAGCTTAAAAGCTGACCCAATGGCCCGCGCGTAAGGGACAGTTGGCTCCGCGGAAGCTGCGCGCACCCTAAACGCGGAAGGGGTTGATAGCGTCAACGGATTGAAAAGAGGTTTTGATAACCGCTCATATCTCATGTTGAATTGAAACACAAGAAACCAAAGAGCAACGTTGAAGCTGCAACCGTGATAGTGGTGGTAGGACTGGTTAGATGATTAGGGCATGCGCTAGCAGTTCCAAGACTTTCAGAACTGACGGGCCCAAACGTACGTCCGATGTCGCACATTCCACATCGGCTAGTGTTGGATGCCCTCAGCTGCATTCACCCTCACCCCCTTCCTTTTCTCGGTTCTACTTGACCGGAACAGATGTCTGCTAGGGCCCCCGACACTCTAAACCCCCTAACCCCTCAACTCTAAGCCCTAGCCCTACACTCTAAACCCTAAACCCTAAGCTCTAAACCCAAACCCTAAACCCTAACCCCTAATCCCTAGACTCTAAACCCTAAGCCCTAAACAGAACCAAACCCAAATCATGAGGCCCGCGGTTTGCTCTGGGCGATGTCTGCTGATCTCGTGGCGGCCATCGTGGAAGCCTTCAATGCAGATGTGGAGGAGCCTGGGGTTTCGGGTTTAGGGTTTAGGGTTTAGGATTTAGGTTTAGGGTTCAGGGTTTAGGGTTTAGGGTTCAGGGTTCAGGGTTCAGGGTCTAGGGTTTAGGGTTTCCTAAACCCTAAATCTTAAACACTTCAAGATCTCAGGCCCTAAACCCGAAGCCCAAAACCCCGTTATAACCCTAGACCCAAGACCTTAAACCCTTTTAGTCCTTAGGGTTTTGGGGCGGGGCAATCGGCCCGAAGTGCGCATCGAAGAGAGCAGAAGGCAAGTTGGGTTTGGTGTGCTGTTTTTTTTGGGGTGGGGTTTGGGATTTATGGGTTTAAAATTAGGGTTTAGGGGTTTGGGATTCATGGGTATAAAATTTAGGGTTTAGGGGTTTGGGATTTAGGGGTTTAAAGTTTAGGGTTTAGGGGTTTGGGGGTGGAGGGTTTAGGGTTGCAACAGTGCCAAGACAGAGGATGACCAGAGGCATTCTCTGCGTAGCCTTTGATTGATCATCTAGGAGCCAGAACAACCAGTTAAAACATATCAATACGTACTAGTCCTCGGGGCTCCATTCCAGAACTGTAGAATTCTGCAGTATTTATAATCCGCAGCCCCACTGCAATTATCTTGTTTACGGCACCCTACGCCCTAACCCTAAAGCCTAAACCCTAAGCTTAAAACCTACACCCCCCAACCCGAAGTGCTAAAGTGCCGAGAGCCCTAATTGCCCCCAAACCCAAAACCAATTCCTATAATAATAATAATAAGAAGAAGAAGAACATTAATATTAACAAAAAATAATACTACTAATAACAATAAAAATAATAAGAATAATCACAATACTTACAATAATAATAACAATAATAATAACAACAATAATAAGAATACTAGTAATAATATCAATAATAATAATAACAAGAATAACGATAATCATAATGATCATGAACCTCAGCCCCCTTTCGGACCAGGATCGCGCAGGCGAAGTTCTTGGCGAGGCCGGGACGGCTTCGGACTATCGGGATCAGAAGTTGGATTTGGGGTTTTAGGGGATTTAGGTTTTGATGTGGAGTTTTATGGATTTGGGTTTAGATTTGGAGTTTATGGGATTTAGGTTTAGAGCTTTAGGGATTAATGGAAGGTTTGGGTTTGAGGGTTTGGCTTTGTGAGGATTTTATGGGGTGTAGCCAGGGTTCTTATAGGGGTTTTCGGGCTACAGTGCATCGGGTTTAGGGGTTACATTAAGCTACCAGTACCTACTTGATACTAGGGTTATTGTAAATTCTACGCTTTAGCGTTCAGCATGATTTTCTACACAACGGAAGGTTTTTCTCACTACACTGCACTGCGTTTAGGAGCAGGAGTTTTGAGCTTGGCTTAGGGTTGGAAACCAACAGGGTTTGGGTTTTCAGGGTTTAGGGTATAGGGCTTTTAGGGTTTAGGGTTTAGGGGTTACTGTTTGGGATCCCTGATCGTATTGCAGCACTTACTAAGGGAGGGGTGTTGGTTCGGGTACACCAGGCGGAACGTGCTACTCACACTGTCGACTGATGCAGTACCCTTGCTACCTTGTTGGCCCGGAATCGTAAGGATTTCAGACCATTGTATCACCAAGGCGACTGCAGTTGTATTCAGTACTTTGCTTTTGTTCTGCAGAGTACCGGCTCTGAGAACAGTACACAGCAGACACCTTGAAGCCACCCTCGTAACCTTGCAGGCAGCTGCTAACACTGTTCCGCATCCCGATGATCCAGCCGTGGGCGTGTTGATCGCCGGCCTCGCCTGCTGCTCAGCTGCTCACCGCATCCCAACATCAAGCAGCATTGTAACATTGTACTTGTGCTAAGTTCGGTCTTCCGCGCCGCCAGCCTTTGTCGGACAGGTGCAAGGCGGCATGTCCATCAACCTGGATGATCGCGATTTCAACTCATTCTCCCTCAACCCATCCTGCAGCTGGGCCTGAAAATGCAAAGTCTTTGCAAGCTTGACATTTGCTCTGTCCAGCTCAGTAGGGGTAGGGACATTAGAGTGATTAGAGCAGGTGCTGCTGTACCTCATAGAACCCACCCTGCCACCCAGCCACCCACCCACCCACCCACCCACCCACCCAGCAAGCAAGCAAGCAACCAAGCCTGTGGGAAATGTAAAGGGGGGAAGACCAAGACTGAACTTTCCAAATTCGAAAGCCGGTTGGGGGGGGGGGATGCTTCTTGCAGAATGTTAGCTGATTCTGAAGGCTCGGTAGAGAGACAGAATCAAAAGCGCTTTGCTTCAATTCGCGACCGCAACGGAAGTCTGGGAAGGGGAGTTGAGGAGATCGGTAGATCTAGGCACCTCGGCAGATTGTAATGACTATAACGGGATACTATATTAAATTCTTATGAACCAGGCAGAGATTATAAAGTGATAGCGTCATTACTCATGAGCTTTCCTGAGGCAACTCCACCTTCTCCAACATACACAATCGCACGTGGGTGTTGACCTCAGCTTCTTGATCCCGCAAGGACACGGCTAGGTTTTCGGCCAGCCGGGGCTTAGCAACCCTCAACCCTAAACGCTAAGCCCCTCAACCCTATACCCTCAACCCTAAACTTCTAAACCCTATGCCCCTAAACCCGTAAACCCTATACCCTAAACCCTGAACCCGGTCTCACGAGTTGTTGGCCTGACCAGGACTATGGTCTCCAGGTGGTCTGCATTTTGCAGAGCCCCAAAAGCATTTCAAAATCTGAGCCACAGCCCTCAAAAGACCCAAATCGCCCTGGACCTTGACCTTGGCTGTCAAGACTCTGAGGGCTTAGGGCTTAGCTAGGGGTTCCGGGGTCTAAGGTGTCGGGTTGATTTCGGATCCATAAACCTTGCAGGTCGTTCACCATGTGCAGCCAGAAACGATGCGCTGCATGTGGGAGCTCGACACGGCCGAGGCGGCGCAAGGCCGACGTTGGGCTTGACAGCGAGTTGCTCGCTCTTGGTTTAGGGTTTAGGGTTTAGGGTTAGGGGTTTAGGGTCTAGGGTTTAGTTTTGGTGTTTTTTAGGGTGCTCAGGTTGAGGGGAA